GAATCAGAGAATTCTGTACAATCAATGATTTATTATAGCAAATACCTTTTAAAAGAAACACAAGCACAGGTTATACACATGGATTTTATCTGATGGGATGCACAGGTATCAAACTGATTACATCGGTGGAAGGAACCATTGGAGATATTCAATATCAGCAGTGAAAACTAGGCCAGGTGCTGATGGAAGAACAGACCATCAACTACTCATATACAAGTTCAAATTAAAACTAAAGAAGGTTAAATAATATGTACAGGAATAAAAATTTGACTTTGAGTCTATCTCCCATGAATTTTAAAACCAACTCAGGAATAGGTTTGGGGCCTTGTTCACTAATGAACAAATACCAGATAAGCCGTGGAAAGATATCAAGAATATTATTCATGAAGAACGCAAAAAGTCATTACAAACAAGGAGGGGGGAAAAAGACAAAAATGGTTGTCAGAAGAGAGTCTGAATATTGCACTGAAGTGCCGAGAAGCCAAAACAAAGGGAAGAAATCAAGAAGTTAAGGAGATGAATAGAAGATTTAGAAAGCCCGCTTAGGAAGACAAGGCAAAAATTTATAATGACATGTGCAAGGAACTGGAGTCGTAAAATGAAAAGTGCTGAACTTGCTCAGCGTTTCTTAAGCTGAAGGGACTAAAGAGAAATTCAAGCCACAAGTTGCAATGCTTAAGGATGCTATGGGCAGAATATTGAATGATTCAGGAAGAACTAAGAGAAGATGGAAGGAGTATACAGAGTGACTGTACCAAAAAAAAATTTGGCTAACACAGAAGAATTTCAAGAAACAACATGGTTCCAAGCATCCTGAAAAACCTACAACTAGGAGAGGATAAAGTAGATGAATGGGACCTTCTAAGAATCAAATCCCTTTGCGCATCCAACACGGTAAAAAGGGAAGCCACAGACTGGGGAAAAATATTTGGCAATGACATGTCTGATAAGGGACTTATATCTAGAATTTATAGAATACTCAAGCACCACAACAAGATAAAGGTAAACAACCCAGTTGAAAAATGGGCACAGGATGTGAACAGACACTTCACCAAAGAAGACATTGAGATGGCGAACAAACACATGAAGAAGTGTTCAAAATCCCTAGCTCTAAGAGAGATGCAAATCAAATCATCTCACCCCAGTAAGAATAGTAATATTCAACAGAGCAGCAAACAGCAAGTGGTGGTGAGGTTGTGGATAAACTAGAACCCTTATTCACTGTTGGTAGAAGTGTAAAATGGTGCAACCACTATGGAAGGCAGTATGACACTTTCTCAAAAAGTTGCAAATAGAAATACCATTTAACCCAGCGATTCCATTACTGGGAGTATACCCTAAAGAAACCATAACTGCCACCCAAGCAGACATATGCACACTCATGTTTATTGCTGCTTTGTTCACAATAGCAGAGAGTTGGAAACAACCCAAGTTCCCATTAACAAACGAATGGATAGAGAATCTGTGGTATATTCACACAATGGAATACTGTGCTTCATTGAAAAAAGAAAGAATTAATGAAATGTTATACAAAATGAGTGACCCTGGAGGACATTATGCTGAGTGTCTATCTCAGTCACAAAGGAACTAATACTCCATAGTGCCACTGCTGTAAAATGGGACTGACATTGGGGTTGGAGAGAACTTAAGAAAAGAGGGAATAAATAACGTATACTGCATTGAAACAGATGAGGGAGAGAACTGTTTAAAAAGAATATAAGATTAGATATTATTTCTATGACAAGATTACAGAAAAATAAATGCATAGTAAAGTGGACTGTGGATTTGGGGGAGAATTGTATAACAATGAAAGGATTTTTTTTTTCTTTTCAAAAGCAAAATGAACTGGCATGGAGTGTTGGGCAGGGAGAAAAATGTGCAACAATGAATGAATGAATGGAGGGAAAATCAAATGGAAAGAAAATGCTGTAAAAAAATACATATGTTGCATTTAAAAATCACTAATTAAAAAATCAACATATGAGCAAGAGGTAATGGTGATAAATGAGGAAGTTCAAGCTGCTCTGAAAGACTTGGCAAAAAATAAAGCCCCAGGAATTGATGGAATACAAATTGACATATTTCAGCAAATAGATGTTGCCCTGTATGTGCTCACCAAGTTGTGCCAAGAAATCTGGAGGACATCTACTTGGCCAACTGACTGAAAGAGATCCATATTTATCCCCATTTCAAAAAAGGTGACCTGACAGAGTGTGAAAATTATCTAACAATATCACTAATATCACACACTAGCAAAATCCTGCTATTATCCAGAAAAGACTTGAACTACCAGAAATAAAAACTGGGTTTAGAAGAGGTAGTGGTACTAAGGAAATTATTGCCAATGTCAGATGGATCTTGGCAGAAAGCAGAGAATACCAGAAGAATGTCTCTCCATTGACTATGCAAAGGCATTTGATTGTGTGGATCACAATAAATTGTGGCTAACCTTGAGGAAAATGGGAATATCAGAACACTTGATTGTGCTTATATGAAACCCATACTTGGACTAAGAAGCAGTCCTCAGAACAGAGCAAGGAAACACAGCATGGCTCAAAATCAGGAAAGGAGTGCATCAGGGATGCATCCTGTACCCATGCCTTTTCAATCTGTATGCAGTACAGATCATTCAGGAAGCAGGGCTTTATGAGGAGGAGTGTGGCATCAAGATTGGAGGAAGACTCAATAACAACCTATGATATGCAGATGATACAACCTTGCTTGCCAAAACTGAAGAAGACCTGAAGCACTTGCTGCAAAATGTCAAGGACTGTAGACTGGATTGAAGCCCAACATCAAGAAGACAAAGATTCTCACCACTGGGCCAATTGGCAGCACTGTTACAGATGGAGAAGAGATTGAGGTTGTTAGCAATTACAGCTTGCTCGGATCCACAATAAACACTCTTAACACCAGCAGTCAGGAAATAAAAAAATCTGCTGTTATGGGCCTCTCCAGAGTGCTGAAGAGCAACAAAGTCAGTCTAGAGACAAAGGTGCTCCTAATCCAGGCCATGGTCTTCGCAAATAATTGTTATGATTCAGAGAGCTGGACGATGACTAAGGATGACAGAAGAATAGATTGTTGTGGTGCTGGAGAAGAGTCTTGAACATACCATGGACTGCCAAGAAAACAAACAGATCTGTTTTGGAGAGGGTGAAAACAAGTCTCTCCTTTGAGGCTAGGAGTTTGAAGCTCCACCTCACTTGCTTTGGGCATGTGGCCAGGAGAGATTGGCTCTTGGTTAAGGATATTATGCTCAAAAGGGTGGACAGACAGTGCAGGAGAGGAATACCCCGGATGAGATGGATTGATACAGTGATTGGGGCAATGAGGTGAAAGTGTCAGAATTAGTGAGACTGGCTCAGGATAGGAAAGGGTTCAGAGTCGCTATGCATTGCAGGCGACTCAATGGCACATAACAACAATAACGTACTCTGACAGGTTTTTTTTTTTTTCACCAGTATTAAAAAGTTTATTAAGGTAAACTTTTTTTTTTAAATTTAGGTTGTTTATTTTTCATTTCAATGAACATCTACAGAGATTTTGGGATTCCATTTTTAAAGCAGGAGTGGCATTCACTTTCTAAATAACATGCCTCCAGAAACTCTATGAACTTCGATAAATGTCGATAGTTGTAGAGGGGCTTCAGGCTTTTTGTTCATAGGATTACTGTGAGTCATGCTCGACTCGAAGGCAATCTACAACAGCAAACTCAACTAGCTTTATTCTGCTTGGAGTTAATAGTAACCTCTAGAAAACGAAACTGTAGAAAAGAACAACTGCCTCCTCTTCCTGTAGTGGCAGAGTGTACTAATAGTGGGCATTCCTACATAGATTCTATGACCAATAAAAGGGGGGGAAGTGACTATCTGAACACCTTTAAATGTTAAAATGCTTGGTTCTTGTCTATTTTTTAATTATACCAGTTTAGTTACAAAATTAGAATACATTGTTTTCAAGTACAGATTCTTCCAATTTCCCTCACCTCTGACCCATCAAATTGTACAATTCCATGATTAATCCCCTCGCCTCTTCACATCCACATCCCTCTGCTTCCACCCTCCCCCCCACCTTGGATCCTTATACTCATTCTACAATAATGATTTTATGCAATATTTATTCTTATGGGATTGAATTTGTTCACTCAGCATAATGCTCTCCAGTCCCTCCCATTGTTTATTCCTAATATTAATGGCAAAGTGATTTTTACTTATTTTCATTTATGTATATTTTTGGTTTATCATTAATTATAATTTATAATATAATAAATATAATTATATAATATATCATATATCATATATATCATGTCATATGTTGTTGTTATGTGCCATCGAGTCACTTGCGGCTCATAGAAACCCTGTGTACAACAGCCCTAAACTCTGCTCTGTCCTGTGCCAATCGCACCATCTCCGATACACCCATCCCGATCACCCTAGTCACTCAATCAATCCACCTCATAGAGGGTCTTCCCCTCCTGTGCTGTCCCTCCACCCTACCAAGCATGATGTCCCTCTCCAAGGACCGGTCCCTCCTTACAACATGTCCAAAGTATGTTAGACGAAGTCTCAGAATCCTTGTCTCCAAGGAGCCACCCGGTTTGACCCTTTCCAGGATGAATCTGTTTGTTTTCCTAGCAGTCCATGGTACCCTCAATACTCCTCTCCAGCACCACAGCTCAAAGGCATCAATTCTCCTTCTATCCTCCTTAGTCATTGTCCAACTCTGATGGAGCCAAGCAAACTAAAGCTGTGAACATAATATATCATTAATACAATTAATTACAATATTTCATGAGATCACTAATATGTATTGTCTTCCTTCTTATCTGACAAAGTGTACTTTAAATTACAGTATGAAACTTTCTCAAAACACAAGTTGACTTCTCTTGGATCTAAAAATCACTATCTGTTCTAATAAATTATAAGACTGGATACATTGACAGCACAACTCCCCAGAAAGCTGGTATTACATTAACACCAAGTTTCCTCTTGTTTCAGAACTGCACTTTTCACAGGAATATGGCCAGCGATCTGAAAGCATTTACAGACAGGTACGGGTTTGACGTCCTCATCCTCTTGGCCAATGGCACATCAGAGGAGCAACAACCGAAGCAACAGATCGCCGTGTACTCCGAGAACCTAGAGCTAGGCAGCCAGGTGAGGACCCCTTCTGCCGGGCACAGAACCTCCTGACCTTCAGAGTGTGCAGGAGGAAGATGATGAGAAAATCCATTTACAATTTATAAGAAATTGGCCCAAGAAATAGAGTCCTAGAGTTTAAGTTTTGGGAAATGTTGAGGGTGTTCTGCTACATTTCACTTTTTAAAGAGTCTCCTAACTATTTATCCTCTAGAATGAATTCATAGAGAGATGCTGGTTTATATCTTCCTCACCTGAACAGGGCTAGTGCTCACTGGGGTGCTGTGCTTCTATGACTGCTCCTTGGCTGTAGCTCACAGCTGTGTGAGTGTCCAGCGCTCCTCCAGCAAAGGACCACAGACTAACCAGCTTAACAACATACTCCATTGTCTCCTAGTTCTCCAACTGGAAGCCCTGAGCCAAGGTGTGGGCAAGCCAGCTTAGTCTCCAGTGGGAGATTTCTGTGTCTCCTCCCAGCTATGGTAGTTCCTCATTCTTTGCTGTTCTTTGACTGGTAGTCGCATCACTCCACTCTCTGTGTCTGTTTTTACGTAGGCATTTCCCTTCTGTGCCTGCCTGTCTTTCGGAGTTTCTCTTTTATGAGAACATCAATCAAACAGGATCACTGCTCCTTTACCCCAGTACCTGGTGACAATTTAACTAGTGATGTATCTTCAAAGATTCTGTTCCCATAGAGGTCACACGCCCAGGTACTGAGGGTTAGATCTTCAACATACCTTTTTGAAAGACAGAATTCAACTAATAACATTTTCCTTTGATGCTCAATTTTTATTAACTGCTGATCTGATAATATAACCTAAGTTAGTTTGTCTCTAGGTACCAAATTTCTGACTGGGTAATTAGTTGTATCTTCTATGTTATATATGAGGGGTTTTTTTTAACCTAAGACTTTGGAAATAGTGGAAGAACTCAACAAATTAATCAAAACAGGCCACTGGTTATACCAAACCAAGGGTACTTAATAATTAACATGAGAGTATACATTATTCATTATAATACGGACTTCACTGGTGTAGAAAGTTGCATCACTAATCTCTCCTCACAAGTAGTATGCAGAACTGCTGGGTCTTGCACATGGTTAATGTGTTCCGCTACTCATCAGACGGGTAGAGGTTTGAGACTATCCAGAGGCACCTCAGAAGAAAGGCCTGGTAATCCACTTCTGGAAAATTGTCCATGAAAGTCCTGCAGAGTGAAGTTCTTAATAGCAACTGACTGGATGTGCCTCATTTATCCACAGGTGGCTAGAGGCAAAGCTTCTATTTATGTTCATGCTCACCTTTTGTCTGTGCTTGCTCACATCCACATGTGAAAGGGCCTCCTGCAATCACTACATACATATACATGGTCTTCTCCCCCTTCCCCACTACTTTCACTTGTGCATGGCCTTACCTCTGGGCAAATGCCAGAGACAGTTCCTCTGGGTCCTGGGTTTTGAGCATCACACAGTCAAAACTCTGCTCTGAAGAAATATTGCCCCATCATTGATCACAAGGAGGGTTATGTCATCATGACAATCTGAGTCCAAAACCACATGTCAGCTGTGCATTGTTGAATAAGTTCTCTAACTTTCTGTGTCTTAGTTCCCTTTTTCGTAAAATAACGATAATGAGTCCGCACCTTGCAAAACATGATATGTTAGCACTGTGCCTGGTATATGAGTATTGGTGATGCAGTGGTTAAAACACTCAACTGTTAACTGGAAAGTCAGTAGTTCAAGCCCACCATGCCTGTCTGCTTCTATAATGATTTACAGCCTTGGGAAATCCTGTGGAGCACTGTTCCTCTGTCCCATGGGGTCACTATGAGTTGAACTAAACAGAAACAAGCATCTTCTTACTATCTTTGTTTCTTCTAACAATGACCACAATCCCTGTGGTTGTTGTTATTATTACCTCCACTGATTGTGTAGGAGAGAGCTCTCATGACATAGTCTATAGGGAGTTGCACTGCTACGCTATAGGCCATGCCCCTTTGGCTGTTTGAATCCACCAATGACTCTGTGAGAGAAAGATGGCCAATCTCCTCACGGGCAACTTATAGCCTCAGACACCCAATGGGAGGTCAGCTGTGAGTCAGTTCCAGCTCGAGAGCAATGAGTTGAGCTGAGTTTAATTGAGTTGAGTTGAGTTGAATTGCATTGTGCTGAATCCAGTAGGGCCATTTTTAAAGGCCTATGGTGGAAGAATATCCCCAGCATTTTCTAAAAACCACAGAGCTCTGGCCCAGGACTGGCCTGGTCTGATACTGCTCCTGGCTTCCCCTCTAACTGTTGAATCAGCTTTGTGACCTCCATGCTTTTTTTTTTTTTTCTGGGCTCTTTTTCTTTGCTCTTGGCAGAACATTGGGACATGACATTTAGGTAATTCTACTCCTAGTTGTTTCTTTCTCTTTTGCCTTCTGAGGCTATTTCTGGTTCTGGCTATTTGCTCCTTTAGAAAAGACTGACCTATTTCCCTCCATTCTAACACTATCCCCCTAGTCTTGAAGGTACTGAACGAACAACATTTCTGGTTTGGGGTTTTTGGTCTCACTCCTATTGGAAGATGGTATTGTAATATATTACATGGAGGGAAAGAGCTGGATGGCTTTAAATTTCTTGTCCTTCAACTTACAGGAGCCAGCAAGTTTGGTTGATTTTTTAATGAAATGCACAGACAGATTTTTAGTTAAATGAAAAGACAATTTGATGTAATTAAAGACAAGGATAGTCTATATTCGAGGAGGTTCTGTTTGTGGTGCCAGGAACACAGATGACACAGGGGAGTGGAGAGGAAATGGATGGGCAGATGTGAGTGGAGGTGTGAGCCATCAAACTAGGATTGGCTGGGGTGGGAGTGGGAACTACTGAAGGGGCAAGGAGAGGGAACTGAGCTGGCTGCTGGCAGACGTGGGTCAGGGTGGGAACAACAATCACATGCTGAAGGGGCAGGAGGGAAGTGGGACTAACACCTGATCTGTTACCTGCGTAATGGGAAAGGTGTCTCATCTGTTCTTTTGAGTAAAATGCTTGTCTGTCAAATATTGCTCTAAAGCCAAGCTCCCAAATTAAGACAGACTAGGGAAAGGACAGGCCATCCACTTCCGAAATAACAGGCCTTCAAAAATCCTATGTACAATAGAGCACACTTGGACTAGCAGACATGGGCCAGGAGGAAGGACCTCCTGACTGGGAATCACAAAGGAGGAGGAAGAGTTGCAAACAGACACTACTGTTTGGAATGTGGAATGTGAGATCTATGAGTGTAGGAAGATTGGAGATTGTTAAAGAAGAAATGGAAAGCATAAATATTGACATAGTAGGCACTGGAGAAATGAAATGCATTGACATGGGCATTTTGAATCAGGAAATCATATGATCTACTACACTGGAAATGAAAAGGTGAGGAAAAGTGGGTCACATTCATAGCCATAAAGACCATTTCTTGGTCCATCTTGAAATACATTGTTGTGAGCAACAGGATAATGTCCATGTGCATATAAGGAAGACTTGTTAATACCACTGTCATTCAAATATATGCACCAACAACCAGAGCCAAAAAGGAGGAAACAGATGACTTCTATCAATTATGGCAGTTGGAAATGGAATGAACATGCAACCAAGATACATTAGTAATAATGGGTGACTGAAATGCAGTAGTTGGGAACAGGAAGCAAGAATCATTAGCATGGGAAGCATGGACTAGGTGACAGAAAAGAGGTGGAAGATAGAATGATAGAATTCTGTATAATCAATGAACTGCTCATTGCAAATATCTTCTATAAGAAACACAAATGACAACTATACACATGGATTTCACCTGATGGTCTACACAGGAATCAGATTGACTACATCTGGGGGGAAAAAAATGATGGAGAAACTCAATATCAGCTGTGAAGACTAGGCCAGGTGCTGATTGTGGAAGAGACAATCAACTACTTATATGCAAGCTCAAGCTGAAGCGAAAGAAAAATGAAATCAAATCCACAAGAACCAAAGTTTAGTCTTGAGTCAAACCCACTAGAATTTAAAGATAATTTCAGGAACAGGTTTGAGGTCCTGAATATGAATGAAAGAAGACCAGCCTAGTTTAATCTTCTCTAGGATGAACCTCTACTAAAAATAATTGGCTGGCACAGAAGAATTTAATGAAACAATGTATGATCAAGAAGCAATGATGATGAAGGAGGAAGTTCAAGTTGCTCTGAAAAAATTGGCAAAAAAACCAAAGCCCCAGGAATTAATGGTATACTAATTGACATATTTCAAAAAACAAATACTTCCCAAGACACTCTCACCTGATTGTGCCAAAAAATCTGGAGGACAACTACCTGGAGAAGTGACTGGAAGAGATCTATATTTATTCTAATTCCAAAAAAAGATGTACTGACAGAGTATGGAAATTATCAAATACTATCACTAATATCACATGCAAGCATGAAAATGATCCAAAAACCTTTGGACCAAGTACATCAGCAGATGTGCAAGCTGGGTTTAGAAGAGCCCGAGGTACTAGGGACATCATAGACAGTTAGATGGATCTTAGCCAAAAGCAGAGGGTACCAGAGTAATGTGTATCTGTGTTTCATTGAGTATGCAAAGGCATTTGACTGTGTGAATCACAACAAATTGTGGCTAACCTTGAGAAAGATAGGAATCCCAGAACCTTTAATTATGCTCATGAGAAAACTCCACTTGGAACCGGAAGCAGTCTTATGTATAGAGCAAGGAAACACCGCATGGTTTAAAATCAGGAAAAGTGTGCATCAGGGATGCCTCCTAGCTCCTCATCTTTTAAATCTATACATGGAACAGATTGCTCAGGAGGCTGGATATTAAGTGGCATCAGGATTGGAGGAAGACTCATCAACAACCTACATTATACAGATGATACAACCCTGCTTACTGAAACTGAGAAGGACCTGACGCATTTTCTACAGAAGGTCAAGGACTGCAGCCTTAAATATAGATTGAAACTTAATATCAAGAAAACAAATATTCTCACCCCAGGGCAATTGGCAGCACCCTGATGGATGGAGAAGAGATTGAGATTGTTAACAATTACAGCTTGTTTAGTTCCACAATCAACACACTTGGCATCAGCAGACAGGAAATCAAAAGACGAATTGCATTGGGAAAATCTGCTGTGAGGGACCTCTCTAAAATACTGAAGAGCAATGTCAGTCTGGAGACTAAGGTGTAGTTCTTCCAGGCTATGGTCATGCAATTACTTGCTATGCATCAGAGAACTGGACAAAGACTAAGGATAATAGAAGAAGAATCCATACTTTTGAGTTGTGGTGCTGGAGAAGAGTCTTGAACATACTGTGGACTTCCAAGAGAACAAACTGGTCTGTCCTGGAGAGGTTGAAACAAAGCTACTCCTTGGAGACAAGGATTTTGTAGCTTCTTCTCACATACTTTGTGCGCGTGGCCAGGAGGGACCAGTTCTTGGAGGAGGGCATCATGTTTGGAGGAACAGCGCAGGAGAGGAAGACCCCAGATGAGATGGATTGACTCAGTGACTAGGGTAATGGAATTAGGTGTGTCGGAGACAATGAGATTGGCTTAGAAAAAGAGCAGGGTTCAGAACTAATATACATAGCTATGAGTCACAGGTGACTTGACTGCACATGACAGTGACAACTTATTTCCTACATTACACAATTCTCAGCTGTTTGAAGGGTTTGGGATTTTTTTACAAAAAATAAAAGTTAATTTATATTGATTAACAATATTAGTGTATTAAGACCAATTACAAAGGACAAAGCCAGCCTGCAGTCTCACCTGCTTCCCTGTGCCTGTGTCTCCCTGACAGATTTGCTGTGAACTGGAGGAGTCTCAGAACCCTTGCCTAGAATTGGAGCCCTTTGAGTGTGGCTGTGACGAGATCCTGGTGTACCAGCAGGAGAACCCTTCCGTGACTTCTGATCAAGTCGTTCTCCTGGTCAAGGAAGTCATCAACCGGCGGTGTTCAGAGATGGTCTCCAACAGCCGGACGTCGTCCACAGAAGCTGTGGCAGGCAGCGCCCCACTGTCCCAGGGGTCTTCTGGGATCATGGAGTTGTATGGTTCTGATGTAGAGCCACAGCCCAGCTCTGTGAATTTCATAGAAAACCCTCCAGATCTCAGTGATTCCAACCAGGCTCAGGTGGATGTCAACATCGACCTCGTTAGCCCAGACAGCGGGCTGGCCACCATTCGAAGCAGCCGTTCATCCAAGGAGAGCTCTGTTTTCCTCAGTGATGACAGCCCAGTAGGGGAGGGGGGTGGGCTTCACCACAGCCTCCTCCCCGGGTTTGACTCCTATAGCCCCATCCCTGAAGGGGCAATTGCTGAGGAGCACACACGCCCAGAAGAACATGCGGAACACTTTGACCTCTTCAACTTTGATTCTGCACCAATGGTTTCTGGGCAATCCCAGCCATCTTCCCATTCAGCTGACTTCTCACCAGAAGATGATTTCTTCCCCAACTCTGATTCATCAGAAGGACAGCTCCCCACCGGCCCTAAACTACTTGATGAGATAGGAGTCAACATGTCTAGCTACTCATCCAGTTCACTTTTGTCAACAACTGGCAAAGATAGCCTTGTGGAGTTCGATGAGGAGTTTGTCCAGAAGCAAGAAAGTCCTACAGAGGACTTGGAAAGAAGTTTGAATGTGACAGATTTTGTGAGAGCCGAATCTCCTACACCAGAAAGATTTAAAAGTACTGGAAAGCGAATTCCACCAACACCTATGAATAGCTTTGTAGAGAGCTCTCCAACCTCTGAAGAGCGAGTCATGCACTATCCGGAAGATGTTACCGCCAATGCAGTTGGCACAGGCCACACAGGAGCACCTCAGTCCCGTGCACGATGCAGCAGCTGGTGGGGGGAATTAGAAATGGACTCTAAAAATGTTGATAATGCCTGGAGTTCCAGTGAACAGGAGTCTGTATTCCAGAGCCCCCCCAAGGCATGGAAAGGTCCAACCCCAGCAGATAGGAGAGCCTCAGATTCTGTTTTTCAACCAAAGAGTCATGAATTCTCAAAGTCACGTCTCTGGGAATCTGAATTTGGCCAGCCTGTACTGGGGAGCAGTGAGAATCAAGACCAGGCTGAGGGAAATTTGCAGCTTCCAGACCTGCCGGCTGAGCAAGCACGTTTATCTAATGCTTCTCCTCAGGGAACCAGCCACCTGATAGAGAACTTTTCTGCGCTGTGGCATTCTGACCACTCTCCTGTGACCATGCCTGAGCCCTGGGGGAACCCCACAGATGAGAGTGACCCAGACACTGGGGGCGCCTTCCCTGCCTGGAGAGCATTTGGTAAAGAAGAGAGCACCAAAGCTTTGAAAAATACCTGGAATCTGCACCCAATGAGCAGTGAAACACCTTCTGTGATGGACCTGAATGAGTGGGCCATGGCAAAGGGCGGCTTCTCTTTCCGCTCTGAAGATCTAGTCGACAGCTCTCCCGGTAATGCCAATAACGAAGCCACCCCAAAAATCTGGGGCAAGAAGAACAATGACACCAGAGATAATATCCTGGCATCTGGAAATCCCACTTCCAATCTGGATCATGTGTGGGATCATTCAAAGCCACCAGTGGGGGATCAGAATGGTTTGGTGGATCTTAAAATTAGGGAGAAGGCATATGAAAAAGTGGATTCCTGGAACCTTTTTGAGGAGAGCAACCAGAAAGGAGTTTCAGACGTCCTCGCTCCTTGGGAAGATTCCTTCTTATCCTACAAATGCTCTGACTACAGCACATCCAATGTCGGTGAAGATTCTGTGCCTTCCCCCTTAGATACCAACTACTCTACCTCTGACTCTTACACCTCACCAACATTTGCTGGAGATGAAAAAGAAGCAGGAAGCAAGCCATTTAATAAAGAGGAAGGTGTCAAGACAACAGATGCCAACTCCTCCACAGAGGAGCCCGGAATGCCTCCTCATTCACCGCAGCAGCCATCCAGAAATCGAATTAGTTCTGGTCCTGGGAACTTAGAAATGTGGACGCTGTCTCACACAGATGACAATCTTGCAATAAATACCACTCAAACCCCAGATAAGGATTTCCTCCAGACCGAGCAACTGCACGAGAAGAACCTCTCCGTGGAGGATGAGGCTGGGGACAGCAGCCTGTCCAGCTACGATGACCCCAGGATGATGCAGCTGTACAACGAGACTAACCGACAGCTCACACTCTTGCATAGTAGTACCAACTCCCGGCAGGGGGCGCCCGAGAACGACTTGTGGAACAAGGTGATCCTGGAGGACACGCAGTCCACCGCCACCATCTCGGACATGGATAACGATTTGGACTGGGATGACTGCAGTGGCGGGGTGGCCATCTCCAGTGAAGGTCAAGCGCAAAGTTATGCTCCAGAAGGTACTGAACCGGAAACTCGCTTTTCAGTGCGACAGTTAGAGCCGTGGGGCGTGGAGTATCCTGAAGCAACTCAAGTCGACTGGGAACCTCCAGCCTCCTCCGAGCCCAGCGAGGATACTGCTCCCAACAAACTGAATGAGAAAAGTGGGCAGCTCATTGCAAACAGCATCTGGGATTCCGTCATAAGAGATAACAACATGACATCCTTCATGTTGCCTAGTCCATCACCTATGACAGATTCACAACAAAGTAAAGTGACTCCTGAAACTCCTGGCTCACCAGAACAAGTCAAGGATGGTCACATCCCAGAGGCGCTAGAGGCCTCTAGAGTCAGTCCTCAGGGAGCGCTTACAACAGACGCCCACAAGCAGGACATAGGGGAAGAAACCTTCCAGGGTGATTCAGCATCCTTGGCGCCCAGCCTGGAGAACCCGGGGCCTTTTGAACCCTCAAATCTATGGAAAGGTTCTAACACTGGACAAAGTGAGAAGGAAGCCTTTACATCCACTGATGGAGAGTACGTGAGTGAGGAGGAGATGACAAGCTCTGAGGAGGACAGTGTCCCCTGGAGTTCTGGAAAGGGTGGAAGTGACCGGGACCTCTCTTCTCCAGTTGCATCTGAGCATTACAAAAGCTCCATGGAATTAGGCACCGTCACTGTCGAAGATCCCTCAGCCACTTCCAGTCCTCAGATTGAGGAACGAGAAGAGACTTTAGAGCAGGAGAAGGGATCTTGTAACCTGGACTCCTGGGGTCTTCAAACAGGAATGTCTACAAACAACATGCAAGCAAACTTGAGTGAGTCTACTGAAGTTTCAGATAGTGCACATTTAACAGAAAGTGGATCTTTATTGGAAATGAAGGCTGAAAAAACAGCAGAATGCCACATTCTAGAGCCGGAGAGAATTAATGAAATGCTGCCTCATGAAGTGCCCCAGAACCCTGACATTTCAGATGACCCTAAAGAGATCAATGTGCAAGACAGCTGCACAAGTCCTGAGATCCCCACGAATCTTGAAGTTAAGAGTATGGAAAACAGTCTTCTAGGAGGTAATTCACCTGGAAACTATGGCAAAGTTAGTGTCTCCAGTGAGTACACACAATCAAGTGCATCAAGCCCAGATCTGTATGATTCTTCAGCCTCATTGCTTCCCTGGAGCCACATGCCCAATACCGATCCTGAGAAAGAAAGTCGAGATAATTGGAGTGGACAGAATCCCCAAGAATCTGACGCAATTACCACAGATGGCCAAGTAAGAGTAAATACTGAAATGGAAGACCTGGAGAAAATACGAATGGAAGCGTTTGAAAAGAGCTTTGAGCACAAAGTGCCTAAATTTTTGGAGATCTGGAATTACTCGGTAGATGGTGATTCCTTGTCCTCATTATCTAGCCCGGAGGCAGGTAAATGTTCTGAATTCTCAAGTGTACATCAGGAGAGAAATCTCATAGTTGACCATCAGGAGAAAAACAAATGTGACACTCCTGAAATTGTACAGCCAGAGGATACCAACTTTAACTCATCAAGCTCGGGCTCTGACGATGATAGTTCAGATGATGAAGAGTCAGCAGAGAAAGAAAATAATCTGGTTACTTATCAAGATGCACAAAGCAAATCCAGAGCTTGGAACTTATCAAGTGAGTCTAATCAGTTCTTGACCACAGAAGACCACAACATTCAGGAATGCTCGGAACACATAGGCAGTTCAGAACTAGCAGAGAATGGAAAGTCCAACCCATTTTATGATGATCAACAAAGCAGTCCTGATCACTGGAACTTCTCACCACCATTAAATTCACTGGATGAATCAAATAAATTTGTGGCCACAGGTGAGGCCAATATTCAAGAATGTTCAGAACATATAGACAGTTCAGAGCCAGCAGAGAATGAATATAAGTCAAACCCCATTTATGAGGGTCAACATAGCAGTTCTGAACATTGGAATTTCTCATCACAGTTAGATTCACTGAATGAATCTAATAAGCTCTTGACCAGTCCTGGTCCCAAAGTTCAGGAGTGTTCTGAATATGTCGGCAGCTCAGAACCAGCAGAGAATAAGTCTGATCCATTTTATGATGGTCAACACAGTAGCCCTGATCGCTGGACTTTCTCGCAACCATTAGATTCATTGGATCAATCTAGTAAAGTCTTGACTATAGGTGAGCCCGATATTCAAGAATGTTCAGAGCAAATTGACAGTTCAAAACTAACAGAACATGAAAATAAGTCAAACCTATTTTATGATGATCGAGAAAGCAGCCCTGATCACTGGAACTTCTCACCACCATTAGATTCACTGGATGAATCAAATAAACTCTTGGTCTCAGATGAGCCCAATATTCAAGAATGTTCAGAACATATAACCAGTTCAAAACCAGCAGAGAATGAAGATAAGTCAAACCTAGTTTATGACAGTCAACATAGCAGTTCTGAACATTGGAATTTCTCATCACAGTTAGATTCACTGAATGAACCTAATAAGTTCTTGACCAGTCCTGGTCCCAAAGTTCAGGAGTGTTCTGAATATGTCGGCAGCTCAGAACCAGCAGAGAATAAGCCCAATCCATTTTATGATGGTCAACACAGTGGCCCTGATTGCTGGAACTTCTCACACCCATTAGATTCATTGGATCAAGCTAACAAAATATTGGCCGTGGATGAGTCCAACATTCAAGAATGTTCAAAGCAAACTGACAGTTCAGAACTAGCAGAGGATAAAAATAAGTCAAACCCATTTTATGACAATCGAGAAAGCAGCCCTGATCATTGGAATTTCTTATCACAATTAGATTCCACGAATGAACCTAATAAGCCCTTGACCACTGCTGATCCCAAAGTTCATGAACATTCTGAATATATAGACAATTCAGAACCAGCAGAGAATGAGAACAAGACAGATTCATTTTATGATGGTCAACACACTAGTCCTGATTACTGGACTTTCTCACCACCATTAGAATCACTGGACGAATCTAGTAAAATGTTGGCCAAAGCTGAGCCCAATATTCAAGAATGTTCAGAACAAGCAGAGGAAGAAAATAAGTCAAACCCATTTTATGATGACCAGCAAAGCAGCCCTGATCACTGGACCTTCTCACCACAATTAGAGGCATTGGATAAAGCGAATAAATCCTTGGCCACAGATGAGTCCAATATTCAGGAATGTTCGGAACATGTTGACAGTTCAGAACCAGCAGAGGATGAGAATAAGTCAAATCCATTTTATGATGATCAGCAAAGTATTCCTGATCACTGGAATTTCTCACAATTCGATTCGTCTAATGAACCTACTAAGGTGTTGGCCGTAGGAGATCTCAACACTCAGGAATGTTCTGCATATGTAGACAGTTTAGAGCCAGAAGAGAATGAGAGTAAATCAGATCTGTTCTGTAATGGTCAACAAAGCAGCCCTGATCACCAGAATCTCTCCCCATTAAAAGAGACCGAAATACACATTACATCAGTGAATGAGGAGACAAAATCTTCTCCAGAAGCAGTAAATACAGGAGACAGTGCTTGGCAAATATCTCCCCAGACTGAACAACAGAACAAAAACCATTCTAAATTGGAAATGCTTGGCTTCTCAACTGAGAGTACAGAATGGTGGGCTGCCTCTCCACAAGAAGGAAGACCAGATGAGAGGGCTTTTGAAGGGACACTGTCAAACTCAAGTGATGTATTAGAGAGAAATTCTTCCAAAGTCTACCAAAATGTAGATCCTTGGGGAGTTCCCGTTCCTGGTGATGTTGAATTCACAGAAGCACATTATACCAGTCCTTTCAAAGATGAGCCGCAGTCTACCTTTCTAGATAGTAATGAGAAGAGCTCCCATGAGCTGCTTTGGAACATTCAACCAAAAGAGACAGACTCAGACGTTGAGGAGCTTACCCAGCAGGAAACAGTGGACCAAATTAAAGAAAAGGATTCCAGAGACCAAATCTTCCCAGCTTCTGTGAGTGATGAACTTTCTTCTGAAACACATACCCATGAGCAGTGCCAGGATACTATGCTGCCAGATGGGAATCAGCCAGACCAAACATTTCTCCACTCAGGTGAAAATGAATGTGTTATTTCTCACGTGTCAGCTTTTGAGTGTCAAGAAACAAATTGGTGGGAACAAGAAAACACACACACTAGTGAAACCACCAACTCAAGAACTGCCTCAGAAGATGCCCCTGTTGTCAGTTCTCCTACCGAATCAATGAAGAAGTCAGAGTCTGGACAGAATGATTCTTCTGGCCCTAGTGAGGGACCTCAGGGCACGTTTGCTCCAGATATTTTACATGGCAACTTCCAGGAGGCTGGACAACTGGCCTCTGCTTCTCCTGACTTGTGGATGGATGCAAAGCAGCCCTTCAGTTTGAAAGCAGATGGTGAGAATCCTGATATACTGACTCACTGTGAACTCGAGAGCAGCTCGCAGGCTTCCAATAGCCCTGATATATACCATGATTATGAAGCAAAGCAGGAGATGGAGCACCATATTAGTGCTTGGATGGAACCTGAAGTAGAATCCATGGAGTTGTATGTCACAGAGCCAAATGTGCATGAAGAGCCCATTCAAGAGCTTGGGCAGGAATGTGTCTCGGGACATTCAGGACTCTATTCTGAAAATGCCATTCCACTGCCTGCAATCAGCGAACATGCAATTTCAAGTTCAACATCTCAGCTGGCCTCTCATGAAGCCCCTCTAGAACCTTCTGAAATAAATAATGAAAGCAATATAAATTTAGGAATCTCAGAAACAGCAACCAGCTCAAAGGAGGTGCCAGTCTTGGAACTTTTTGACAGAACAATCTCTGTGGTGGAACATGTAGGCACCAGTATTTTTGTGACTCAACCAGAGCCAGCTGTGGATGGTAACAGTCACTGGGGATCTGAAAGTCTTGCTCCTGAAAGTCAGACAGAAGCACAAGCCTTGCTTGACTATGAACAGCCTTTTGCTACTGGGAATCCTGCCTCTGTCACTGACAGCCTGCCAGTCTCAGACCCAGGCATGGATGTAAGTGAAGCTGCCTTTGATCACAGTTTCAGTGAGGCCTCGGGCCTCAACACATCAACGGGGACCATAGATGACATGAGTAAGCTGACATTATCGGAAGGCAATCCTGAAACCCCAGTGGATGGAGATGCAGGGAAGCAAGATATCTGTTCTTCAGAAGCCTCGTGGGGTGATTTTGAATATGACATAATGGGTCAAAATATTGACGAAGACTTTGTGAAAGAGCCCGATCACTTTCTCTATGGTGCTGACCCTCCTTTGGAGGAAGATGGACAGAAGCAACTGCTGGCACCATACACACCTCCCTTCGATTTGTCCCACCTCACAGAACCTGTCCGAGGTGCTGGGACGACAGAGGAAGCTGCGTCTCCAGAGGATGAATCCCTGGACAGCGACGCTGCAGAGCTGTCGCTCTCTGCCCTGCCTGATCGAAGAGTCAAGAAAAGCCCCACAGAGTGGGGAAGTGGGCAGCCGGAACCCCAGCTGGTGGCACTGCGTATTCACGAAGATTCCGACTCCCTCTCTTTGCCTGTAAGAGGAGGTTCAAATGTCGACTTGTCTCCAACGAGCAATGGTGACTGGGACTTAGAAACAGAAAATTTTTATTCCCCAGCAGGTGGAGACATAGGACCACCAAATGGTAAGATATGGCCCTCTCCACCTACCCCAAGCAACAGCTGCTGTTTAAACCCACTCAGCCAGAAAGCGTATTTGTGAGGTGTCTTCCTGCCCACATGGGTAGAGAAGACCCGACTACACACTCAATTCGGAGTTACTGGAGTTCGGTTCTAGACTGCCACACTAAAGCCAGTCACGTGAATTATTTTTTTATTTCCCAGTGCATATGAAATTATGTCTGCACTGTACTGCACTCTTGTTAAGTGTACCTTAAAAAGGAAGAGAGAGAGAGAGAGAGAGAATGAATTTCTAAACTGTGCCGCAGAAACATTAAATGAGTCTTGAGAATAAAACCCTGCAGTGATAGAGTTGTTCGATACAGGGTTATCACAAACCTTTGATTTGTAAGAAAAAGGAAAACAAAACAAAATACCCTCCAACATAATATCTACATATCTGCAAAGTACAATAAAGCACAAAGAAAACGAGGTGTACCTGTGTATTTTCAACATGTTGTTGTTGTTGTCGTTGTTATATGACCCTATGCTCTGTCCTGTGCCAATCGCACTGTCTCTGACACTCCCATTCTGACTACGCCAGTCACTGAATCAATCCACCTCGTAGAAGGCCTTCTGCTCCTGCACTGTCCCTCCACCCTCCCAAGTATGATGTCTTTCTCCAAGGACCTGTCCCTCCTTGCAACATGTCCAAAGTATGTTAGACAGAACCTCAGAATCCTTGCCTTCAAAGAGTCACCCGGTTTAACCCTTTCCAAGATGAATTTATTTGTTTTCCTAATAGTCCATGGAACTCTCAATACTCTTCTCCAGCACCACAGCTCAAAGGCATCAATTCTCCTTCTATCCTCCATGGTCATTGTCCAACTCTCTGATGCATAACAAGTGATAGCAAAGACCATAGTCTGTATCAGGTGCACCTTAGTCTCCAGAGAAACACCATTGCTCTTCAGTACTTTGGAGAGGTCCCTAATAGCAGACTTTGCCTTCGCAATACATCTTTTAATTTCCTGGCTACTGGTGCCGAGAGTGTTGACTGTCGAGCCAAGCGAACTAAAGCTGTGAACACTCTCAATCTCTTCACCATCCATCCCGCTGTTGCCAATTGGTCCAGTGGTGAGAATCTTTGTCTTCTTGACATTGAGCCTCAGTCCATATTGGAGGCTGCAGTCCTTGACACTCTGCAGCAAGCACTTCAGGTCCTCCTCAGTTTGCTTACTCAAATTCTGAGTAACAATTTTATCCAATCCACAGAGAAAATGATTTCTTATAAAGCATGAGACAAACAACACTATAGGCGAAAACTACTTTTTAAATAACTTTTTAGATGTGTCATTTGCACAGATCACAAAGTGTATAATGTGTTAATTAAACCTTTTTCTAAAAAAAAAGAAAAATCCCAAAACTAACACATTTTGTTCTCCCCTTTTCACTTCCAGGTGGCAATAACAGGGTACTAGACTTGGAAGAAGAAAAAATAATTCCTTCCAAAGACTCTGAGAAATTGAAATCAGAGTACAAAGAAGGATACACTGAGAAGAATGAAGGTCAGCATGCCCTGCACATGGGTTATATACTTGTAAACCCTGAAGAACATTCGCCTCAGAGGCCAGAGGCCTGTGAAGCAAGAGAAAGTGCCTTTCAATTAGAAGAATCTCAAACAAGTGCTGAAAAAATGGGGCTGCCAGGAACGCAATTAGAAATCACCCCAGACACATTTAAGTCAACTCCCTTGAGTGAAAGAAAAGACCCTTTTTGCGACAGTGAGGTTTCCAAAACCAACAAGAAATCTCCTGAAAGCCCCGGGCAAGACCAGGATTGGATGGTGTTGGGCCACAGTGAGATTGGTGGTCTACCCCTGGAAGGAGATTCCAGTCAGCTGGAATTCAAGATCTCGGGGTCTGGATGTTCTCCCGGGGCTGTGGAGCTGGCCGCAGATCCCAGCCCAGGCAAGGGTTACCAGAAGCAGGCTCTGGAAGTGGTGAAGCCTCTGGAATCCATCGCAGTAGAGGAAGCCTCTGCTCTGAACAGCCAGTCAAGGAAGACTACGAGCCAAGGCCAGGCTGGGCCGGAAGCTGCTCTGTTGCCTGCTGTCACCCATGACAATGAATGGGAAATGCTTTCACCACAACCCTCTCCGAAAAACACGGTCCCCGAAGCGGAAATGGAGGAGGAGACAGAGTTCCTGGAGCCCAGATCAGGGAAACCAAGACCAGACGGGTAAGCAAAAGCTAAATTTATGTTTTCCTGAAAATCATTTTGAATAGTAACTGGAAAATAATGAAAGATTATGGAATATGTAGAATACATAGACATAGGAGCTTTAGTTACGTGTGTTCCAAACCGCACCGTCGGCAAGAGCAGCCTGTGGATGACTGTGATGATGTAATGCTGATACTGGAGTCACAGACACTCAGACTTATCCTCGACCGCCCCACCCCAACCTGCTTTTTTTCTTTTTTACTTCTGATTCTTATTGTTAGGCAGGTAGTTGGCAGTCAGGGGAAGGTGGGTGGAATTCACTACCATTCATTTCACATCAACTTTGTGCAAGGCTGTTTTGCCCACATTATTTCATTTAATCCGCACAAGGATGCTGAGGTGTGGAGAGCATTATTATCTTTACTTCCCTCAGGCTTGTGGGAGGAGGGAAGTAGAGGAGACTTGGGCCGCAGAAAGGTTTTGTAACTTGGTTATGATGAAGTAACCAGAGTGAGCTGAGATTTAAACTGCTTTACACCTGCCCACGCCACCCTTACACTACATGTTTCTGGTTTTACGATAGCATCTTACTTACTTACGATAGCATCAGTGGAGTTCCTGGGAGGTGCAAACTTACAGCTCACATCAAGATTGGAAATCACCCCAGAGTGCATTGGAAGAGAGGCCTGGTGATGCACTTCTGAAAAGTCAACCATTGAAAATCCTGCAGGACTCAGCTCTACTCCAACCCCTCGGGCTCTCAGGGGTTGAAATCAATTCAATCGCAGCTGATTTTTATTTTCTAATAGGATTAGGAAGGCTTCTTGGAGAACTCAGAATCTTCATGTAAAATAGTCCCTAATTGGGAAAGAAATAACACGAAACCTTTAGATCCATCATTGATGGGGAGACCTTTTGAAAGTAGATAACCTACCTTCTTCTGGGGTGCCTTTGAACTGCCAAACTTTGAGGAAACCTGGCCTTAGACAATTGCAACACTCAAGGACCCAAACGCACTGGTCAGGAAGAGAATGTCATTTCTGCGCCCTCAAGACAGACTCTGGAGTCTTCAGAGTCCTTTCTTCTCAATAGCCTCCAGCCTCCAGACACACACACACACACACACAAACTGACTCAGGGGAAAGGAAGGAAATAAAGTGAACGGTGGGGTGGGGGTGGGAGGAAGCAAGGACCACCTTTCTTTCTTAAATTGTGATGGAGAAATGGCATCTCCTCCGCATCTGTTTGGTGTGTATAAAGGACACTGGGTCAATAAATCTAAATTCTAACCTGATGCTCCCCCCTTGACCGGTTACATCGTTTAGGATTAAGCCCAGGTTTCCGTTTCTTTGACTGTAAAATCAGTGAGCAGAGCTCAAAGGTTTCAAGTCTTTCTTCAGTATTAAAGCCTCCAAACTGTATTTGTATGTAAATAGGATGTGCCTAGAACAGCCTCCAGGTTTGTGAATTGCATTTCCAGATGACAAGAATAGAGGGGGGAAAGGAGAACAGGTATATATTGGATATAGCAGAGAGCACTAAGGAGTTAAAAGTTCTGTCTCATTCAAGTGCTGCTTCATAGATCCGGTCATTTCCAGTTGGCCAAACCTTTCTTTCTTTCTTTCTTTCTGTCAAGCTGTTTCCTTCCAGAAAGACTCCAGATCCTTTATTAGAAGGGGGCTGGCAGGGACATCCCAGGAGCCCTGCTAGCACTGTTATAGATGAGGCTCAGAACACCAGCAGCCAGGAGCTGACCAGGCTTCTTACCTACCGTGGTGCAGATGGCTCTGAAATCTAACAGATAAGAGTATTAAGTCAAGCCCTTAGCATCTTTTCTTTCAATAACTTTTTTTTCTCAATTCCTGCAGCAACAAAATGTTTCCTGTGTGAAGAGAAAAGGTTAAAATTTCCTCCTGAAACGTGTCTTAATAATTACTTGTCAAATAAATAGTTTTATCTAAAAGCATTCGAAAGCTCCCCTCTTCAGACTCTTAGCTGGGTTTGGGAAGGACGCAGAGCTTTCTAAAACAAGAATCTTCAATTGGTACTCCAGCGTAGCAGCATCAGAATCCCTAGACCACTGTTAGGAATGCAGATTCTCAGAGACTTAGAGTGGGGCCAGCAATCTGATCAAGTTCCCTGACGTGGTTTAGAGGCACCCTAAAGTTTAAGAACCATCACTTGTAAATATACTCCCAGCACTCTAGGAGTGCACGGTTTAATCAGGGAGCTATGACAAAGGTGGACAGTGGACAATTGACGTCCAGACCGGTAAGGACACATGTCATTTGAAATACGAACCAATTGTTGCTGAGCAGATTCTGCTGCCTGGCAGCCCACGTGTGTTAGAATAGACCTGTGCTCCCTACCGTATGCAGTGGCAGCTTTAAAACAAGTTGACGGTCAGGACTCCATTTGTGACACCTCTGGGTGCACTTGAATCTTCAGCCTTTTGTTTAGCATCAGAGTGCGTTTGTCCCATCTTTGCACCTGCTGCTTATTAAGTTCACTGCGTCCTGGACCGGTTGGCCATTGTGATGCATTTTCTCATTGTTCTTCCCAGAAAGCTAACTGGCCAGCTAAGGTAGGTGAGAGGACCTTGTTATGCACCATCAAGTCACAGCTGACCCTTCACTGGGTTTTAAGAGACTGTAAATGGCACAGGTGGAGAATGTTCATGTTTCTCCCTCAGAGCAGTTGATAGATTAGAACCATGTGTCTTTGGATTGGCAGCACAGCTCCTTAAAAGTAAGCCACCAGAACTCCCCCACATGATATTATGTTGTTATTGATGGCCGTCGAGTCAAGCACGACTCATAGTGACCCTATGAACAAAAGACCCGAAGCCTTTCTATAACTATCATCGTTTTTCAAAGTTCATAGAGTTTCCAGAGGCATGTTGTTTAGGAAGTGGTTCCCATTTTATGGATAAAGACATTAAACTTCAGAGACGTTAAATAACTTGCCCAAGGGCAGAATGAGGATTTGAATCAAGATCAGGCCAAGTGTAAGCTCTCAGACCACCGACTGTGAGAGCTTTCCATCCCAGATCTTCCAACTGTAGGCTCTGGAGAAATGGGGCTCCAGCTCAAGGGTGAATAGCGACCATCTCCAAGCATCTGCAGTATCAAGCACCCACATGTACTGCCTTCCTTTACGCTTTCACACTGGCAACTGAGGAAACAAAGCTCAACCTTCAAAAAGGCTGAAATAGTCCCTTCTCTGGATTATTGTCAGAAAATGGAGGGACTTGAATCTCTGACTCTGAAGCATATGTTCTGATGGTTAGTCAGATAGGGGAGGGGCATCTGGTAAGGGCCGCAGGATAGAGGAAGGCCAGGGGCTGCTTCCCATCACATGGGAAGCGTTATGGGAAAGCGTTATGCTCAGGACCCGGAACACTTTTAGAGTGCCCCACCCCAAAGATTAAAAAAAAAAATTAGTATCATCCAGCATAGACTGTGTTTGTCTTTATACCAATACAGGCATAAATATAGTTTTGAATATTTTCATGAAAAGATTTATGAAGAGAAAAGTGTCTAGGAGTCACATAATTGATACTGGGACCCTGAGAGACACAATTAATGATGGCGTTATTGGGAACTCGGGACTCAGAACAAGATGAGAGAGGCCATGCCTAGAAGGGGTGAGATGAAAGGAGTGGTAGAAGCATCAAAGGACCTTTCACCGGACATGTGGGAGGAGATTGCTCATCTTTCTGCAGAGGAAGCACCAGAGGATTCAAACCTCCAGAGAGGCGCCGCTTTGGGCTAGCAGCCCAGCTGCCCACAGACTACACCAGCAGAACTGCCTGCAAATAACCACAGAGCAAATATAAAGATGGCTGTGTTTTCTAGACCAAAATTATAGAAACATCTGATGAGTAATCTGATTAGAGAAGAGAGCATCTAAAATCAAGACTGTTAGACAGAAAAAGAGTTGAGGGGAGAGAAAGAAAGGAAGAAACCGGTCCCTAGAAGTGAAGAGGCCTTTATTTCATGGTCTGAGATGCCAGGTGACCAGGAGAGGAGAAAGTAAGAAAATGCTGTGTAGGTAATTAGGGGCAGTTCCTTCTTATAGGGGTCCTGGGGAGTACTAGGGAAGATGGTATTTCTCAGCATTTGGGGTGTTAATTAGGTTGGGTTTGAGCTTCAGTGATCAGGCTCAGAGCCTTATCAGGATCCCTTGTCTGGTCTGCCCTTTGCTCTGGCCACCTCAGATGTGATCAGTTGGGAGGGGGGCAACTGCTATAGTCTTTCTCCAAAGACCATTCTAAGAAAATAAATAATGACGTTTTCTTCATAAGCAGGCTTTAGTGGCTTAGTGGTAAGAAGCTGTCCTACAATCCCAAAGGCATGCAGTTTGAATCCACTAGTTGCTCAGGTGGGGTGGGCGGCAGGGGGAAGGTGGGGATGGGCAATTAACTGCCTCTGAAAACCCCACCAGAAGGTCAGTTATGAGTGGGTTTTGAAAAGGTACAGAACAACAACATCTATAGGTAGTAGGCCATGGTCTTTGCAATCACTTGTATGTAATGACTAGGGAGGACAGAAGGAGAATTGATGCCTTTGAGCTATGGTGCTGGAGAAGAGTATTGAATGTACCATGGGCTGCTAGGAAAGTAAACAGATTCATCCTGGAGAGGGTTAAACCAAGCTACTCCTTGGAGGCAAGGATTCTGGGGCTTCATCTGACATACTTTGGGCATGTTGTAAGGAGGGACAGGTCCTTGGAGAGGGACATCATGCTTGGGAGGGTGGAGGGACGGTGCAAGAGGGGAAGACCTTCTATGAGGT